AGTAGGGAGGTTAGAATAAGGGCACCAACTTTTTCTTTAGTCTATTTTAGTACGTGAACCCTCCCCCCAAAAAAGGGTACAAGAGTACTACCGGGGGACCTACATCATGGTGAGCTGGTTTTACTCCCGATCGCTATCGCATAAGATGGGCAAAAGGAGAGTGTTTGGTCCCAAGCAGCTGTGTTCTGGGGAGCTTTGGGCACCCAAGCTGGCACGCCCAATTTCCACCCACGCCTCTGAGTGGGTTGGCGTCACAAAGGAGAGGGCCACCTGTGGCGAGGCGGGGGAATGTGGAAGCCCTTTCTGGCTCTCATACTCAGCAACCCCTATGGGTTCCATCACAACAAACCGCCGACATCCGATATCGACAAACGAACGGGTCCCCAAAATGTAGGGCACAAGAGGATGCCCTGCCTACATCTTGGTTGACGTTGAAAGGGGAGCAAACAATTAGATTTGAGCAGTTAAGTGTGGATTTCCCACCAAACCACAATAAGCAAAATGTAAAATGTTTCCCAACGACAGCCATGACATCGCCACAAAACACAAATGAGCCGTTATGCGGATTCTGGCGCCTTGGAAACCAATGGCTAAAACAGGCTCCAAGACCCCCTGAAATGGCGGGTTTCCTCTTTTGTTTTCCTTTAAGACCACGACGAAAAGGCACCCTCGAACAAAGACACATCCAAAGCACATGTACGTTTAATTCCTCACATTTAGATTTAGTTTGTGTAGAGGCCTTTATCTTTGATCACGGGCATGATTGATCGATCGTCCTCAACTTCTGGCCAAGCTGCCTGCAATCCGGCATCAGACTTGGCACAAGCTTCCCGAAAAAAGAAGAAGGATGCAACATCACTGGGCGGTGATCTTTCTTTTCCACCGGAGAGTTCATGATCAAACCCGTCGATAGGGCCGCCTCGGCTTCACTTGCAGGAATTGAAAGCCATTTGGGATCACTCGCCGGGGATTTCTGGAATTGCCACGGTCTGGGTTGGCAACTCTTGCGCGCCAGGTGGAGAGAGACTCGCAAGTGTATCCAATATCTGGTCAATCTTCCTACTGAAGACCCTTGGCAGATCGTGCTGTGCATGCTGACTATGCCCGCCTCTTCAATGTGTGGTCCCACCCAATTGAGGGATTGAGGGTTTTTGCGGCGCTGCAGTCTTGCCGACGCGAAAAAGCCGCGCCTTAGGCAAATCCCCGGCCACGTTGCACATCTGTCGCACCGCTGTAAAGGAGCCGCTGCTTGAGATCCTTGGTGCAGTGACCCGTATGGGTTGCTTGGCCCACACAAAAAAAAGAAAAGGGGTACCAAAAGAAGAAAAAACATGTGTTCAGATTCTGTTTACGGTTAGCCTAGCCTGAAACCAAAATTAGTTTTGGAGGCAACCCTGGTTGGTCTTCTTGAGGGTACCACTTGTTGGGTCGCTGTACCCGGAACCACAAGGGGGCAATTGTCATTGGGATGCTACACATCATTCTGATTTGGTGTAAGCAATCGGAAACGGAGCTTGGCCCTCAAACGCGCCCTGGGAGATATTGGGATGGGGTCTGGTGGGGGCTATGTTTGGGTTCCAGGTCGTGGGTGGCATTCAACCCCGGCTTGCTTCTGAACTTCTAAACGAGTTCCATCTAAGCGTGATTTGCCCTCCCACCCTTTTCACATGGAACCTGACAGGGGGTCCCTGGTCTTCCAAGACCCCTCTGTCAGGTTCCATGTTGAATGGTGGAAGGGTAAATCACACTCAAGATTCTAGTGGAAATGCACATTCCACTTGAAACATGTACTTGAAAATTGCCCTTCTGTTGTTTTCAAAAAATGCGGCCATTATTTAGGATGCTTGGCTTCCAATGAAAGATCTTCAGTACCGCCTGGCAAAGGGTGTGCAAACCCGGATATGAATCAACACGGTCCTCCGTTTATATGCTTTCGCTCACTTCCTGACTTCAAAACGAATGGATGGGGCAAGTCAAAACCTGCTGCGTACTAGAGTCTCCATGACCCTTTTAACATGGGGTCATTGCCCAAAACAAACGGGTCATGTACTCACTTTTAAAGGGTCAGAAGGAGACTCCAGGGTATAAACCAGGAACTCAAGCGAGACAAAGGGGGGGGCCGTTTATCTGCTTGCAATCATTCCAAAGCGCAATGTAAGGACCTTCATGGGGTGTAAAGGACAACCTCCATTTGCTTAAGTCCCCTGGACAAAGATAAGCATATTTCCAGTAGTGATCGATTCCCTTCAAAACCAGCAGGGGAAAATAAAACATATTCTAAACCAAATGGAAGACAAGTAAAGGGAGAAACTACCAGTTTGCGGGCCCCATGGCATGCTTCTTTGGTGCATGTAAAATGCAGCCGTGCAATATTAAGTATAGATCAATGCACCCAAGGCAAAGGAGTTGGCTCGGACAAAGTCCCCGCAGCGTCTGCTTGCGACTCTTGGAGTTCAGCTTTTTTTGTTTGGGGGGGGGGGGGGCACCCCAAACTCCCTTT